GCAAACTTGTGTGCTTCAACTACACCTCTGAAGCTGTAGTTGGAAACAGAGTTCCTGGCCATGTTCTATTCCCAGTTATCCTCCCTATGCCCTATTCGTTTTGAACATTTAAACTTAAAAAAACATTAAAGTCATCACTCTTAGGTGTAATTTGCTTTCAAAGTAGTTTTACTGTTCAGTTTTAGCGATCTTCATGTTTACAGTTGCATTGCCTTTGTAGTGCACTTTGAAAACATTGATGTCATTTTGAACACAGGTGTGGCTAATGACGAGCTATAGATGACCTATTATTTAAAAGCAGAATTTACGATACATCTCCAAAGCTTGTAAAACAAAAAACATAGCATAAGTTAATGCTTTTATTCATAGTAGGTTATTTATGACGTATCTGTACTGTACGACATGAGCCTGTTGGTTGAAACATTTCTGCAGTGGTTTGCATTTGTTAAATTGTAAATATAGACTTTTCAAAAAATAAAAAAATAAATAAACAATATCCTACTAAATAATAATAATAATAATAATAATAATCATCATCATCATCATCATCATCATCATTAATATTGTTATTGTTATTATTAAAGTAGCATTTCCTGATAAATAATAATATTGTTATTGTTATTATTAAAGTAGCATTTCCTGATAAATAATACATTTTAAATTTCACTTCTTAATAAATAGCCTCATTATTTATTTATTTATTTATATGATTTATATATGATTATTATATTAGAATGTGTGTTAGCTTTTGTAAGTAATTTTATATTTTAGAACAGAATATGTAACAAACTGAAACGACAAGTCATGACAACAAATGTTTTTATGTTTCTTTAACTCAGTTTAGCTTGAGTATGCTTGAAGATATACAACGTTTAGCCAAATATTTTTTTTCAGGTTGACTGATTTAATTTGGGATGACAAGAAAAATGTATAAATATATTTGATTTAACTTAAATGTTTAAAGGATAGAATAATATTTGCTGAGACACTATTTGAAAATCTGGAATCTGATTGATTCTGAGACATTCACTTTTAATGTTTTCTATATGAAGTACATAGCAATGCACATTACTAATCAAATATTAAGTGACTGATTTATGGTACGGAATTTTTAATATATCTGCATGGAATGTGATCTTTACTTAATATTCTAATAATTTTTGGCATAAGAAAAAAAATAGACCCATACAATGTACTTTTTAAGCTATTGATAAAATATACTTGTGCAACTTAAGACTTAAGGTTTTGCAAGTCAGGGTCACATTTTGCCTATTTTTCAATAAAAAGATCAGAAGCTTGTCTTCTAACAGCAGATCCTCACTTGTGTGTGACGGAGGAATTCCTGGAGTTGTTTTGACTCATTTACATATTTTAAAGGCTGTCAGCTCATAAAAGCATCAGATGTATGGGCATATAACGAGTGTGTTCAGGTCAGTAAACATCACAAAGACCATTTTGGTGTTGTTGCTTTGCATCCAGACTTAAAAATAACAGTGTGAACTCTATGTGAACATGGACTAAATATGTGATATATATAAATACAGTATAACAAACAAAAAGAATCAAATTACAAGTGTGAACAAACCATTAATGAGAAGGTTTTGATCTTGAAAATAATAATAATAAATAAAAACAATTGTTCAAAACATTACATTTACGCAGCCAACTTGTATGATGTCACAAAAGATTAAAGTTACGATACATAAACAAAAATACAGATTTTTGACATTTTTTGTGGTGACATTATTAGAATTTTGCCCCATGGAAATAATGAATAACTCTGTATATTTGAAAGCTGATAACAGATACATGCACATATAAATACATTTATGGAAAAATATTTTTCATGGACCTATTTATTTTTTTATTAGGCCAATAAATATTAATGTTGATTTAAAAATGACTAGGTGATACCGATTTAGCCGCAAATATAATCTGCATAACTAATTAGAATTAAAGACTTAAATTCAAGCCCTCAATTATATATATAATATATAACTTGCATATAATTTATTTATTTATACCCCTGGAAAATTTGAAAAAATTTAAGTTTCTTAAAGAAACAGTTTTACTTAAGGAAATGTTGTGCCTCTGGTACATCATGATTTTATCTTTTGGGTGAAGCCTCATTTCCAGTCAAAAAAAAAAACTTGCTTGTTCAATAAAAGTTACTTTAGGTCAGAATTTGCCAAGGGTGTAACCAATTTTGTACTTGATTGTATGTTCTAATAAGAAACTCTTTCTCTCCTGTAAAATATAAAAAGACACAGTGAAAATACAATGCCTGGGAAGTAACTAAAGCCATTTCCACCACATTAAGGAAGAGACAGAGCATGAGTCTCTATCCTGAAGGAAACAGACAGCTGATGAATCCAGTGTGAGTGAAGACTGAGAGCTGCAGGGTGGAGCAGCTGCTCAGACCACACACACAACACACACACACACACACACTCTCTCTCTCTCTCTCTCTCTTTCTCTCTCGCTCTGCCAGTCACGTGCTTTCACTCCATACTAACCACATTAATCCAGCAGAAGGGTTCTAATCTGTAATCTGAAAAAGAGGCTCCCTCTGGGAAATACTCAAACTTAACTGAAATTGTTATGTATGGGTAATCGGGTTTTATACTACAACTAGATGAATCATGGTACAGTGCCAATTACTGTATTATAATTTTTGTGTATCATTACTGTGCTTGTAACTTTACAGTGTATTTCCAAATTTCAGGTATTACCATAGTTCCATGCTGACAACATTTTTACTAATGTGCTCATATAAAAATCACTGATCAACTTTTTGTTCCCCATGTCAGCAAAAATTCCTTCTCTCTGACCCCGATAGCCCCTCACATCTAGACTGCGGTCAGCCTTTGTCAAACTCTAAGCTGGTCATCCATCATCAACCTGACCCCCAACAAAATACACTTCAAAGTGCTGGATGGGACCTTTTACTGAAACGTCCCTTTGGGCTACAAACTCAGCCAAACAAATATATTCAGACCATTAATCAACGTCCAGACTCTCGCAGAAGTGATAATTGGCTGTGACAGCAAGGAAACACTTGTGCCCATTGAGTACAACTCTGCTGATGCCTGTAAAACTGACATTAGCATGACTTCTGCAGATTATCTTTCATTTGTTTTTTCTTTGACTTTTTCACAGTTTTTTGATTCAGAAATGTTTTGATACGTTGGGTTTATTGTTACTCAATGAGATGTTACATGACAAGTTTACACTGCTAAAAGACAAGAACTGCCAGTCACAAAGCACTACACTGTAAAAAATGCTGGGTTGTCATAGCTTAACATTGGATTAAATATGGACAGACTCGATAAATTGGGTTAAATATGGACAAACCCAAAAAGTTTCATTTAAATTTAATTAAAAAAACAACAACTCAACAATGAGTTTGTCCATATTTGACCCAATGTTTGTTTATAACAACCCAACATTTTTAGTGTAGCAACTAATGTATTTGAAACAGCATTGAAAAGTCTTGCCACCTCTATGTTAAGTAATGATGGCAAGAAATGTTTGGTATGGAAGCAACAAGTAGTCTGTTTCCTGTACATAATGTACATAGCAAGAAGCAAGTAAACAAAATCATAAGTTATCGTAACAATCAAAAGTTGAGTTGCTTAAACCCCTGCAAATCGCATTTGATGCACATTTTATGATGGACATATTAAACCAACAATTTCTTCATGGGATTTCTTCAAACAAGCTTTGTTCTTTACAAAACATTTCAAAATGCTTACAAAAAAAAAAAAATGTACTAGTAGTAATGATTGTTGTGCATATTACACTGAAACAAAAACATTTGAAACTGTAGAAAAAAAATCGCATTGGGGCTAATATCCTTGTGGGAAGTGCGGCAAGTTTTAATGGCATTGTGCTTCAGCCATCCCGAGTTCCGAGTCCTGGCTTGCGGACCTCTCCCAATCCCACTCCACTTCCCTCTCTCCAACTTTTTTTCTTGTCTAAATATTAAATATAAATTTATCTTGAAAAAAAAGAAAGAAATTCTGATTATAATTTTATTTAAATTCTGATTATATTTCCTTTTATTCTTTTTTTTTGTTTGTTTGTTATAGTTAAATCCCAGCAACATTGTACTAATTTGGTCTGATACATTAGTTTTTTTTTTTACATTTGTGACAAAACATTTGGTAATTTATTAACTTTATTTTAAGGTATTCTTAAAAACCTTAGGTGTGTTCTGTGTACTTGCTAGAGTAATTTCAATAAATTGTGTGCACAAAAATTATATGCAACGAATCCTAAACCCAACCCTTGTTCTATTGCTAACCATATTGTATTTACAATTAATACATTTTTGTTACTTAGTAGTTAAATGAAAAGTTACACTGTAACACAGACACTTCAAGTGTTAACCAAATTTTTTATGTGAACTCAAACTCAAATAATTGTAACAAGTTTTCGAATAAGTTGTCATCTGTAAGTAAAACTTAGATTTTTAGTACATCATTGTCATGAAATAGTACCCTAGGTCTCGTAAACTATTTTTAAATGTCTTTCCAAAAAAACGTGCAGCACTTTCACATTTTTCTCAGATTTCATTGTGAAATCAGTTTTAATATCCTGTTTTTCAACTTCCACAATCAGTCCTGATCAATTTTTGATTTTGAAGAAAACATACTTCAATCCAAAGTTCTTTCTGCGCGATTACTGTCAAACATTACATCACCTAATTATTATTCATGAGCAAAGCTGATTAGAGTCATTCTGTTTCAGATACTGCAGCCTTGATTTTAGACAACTCGGTGTGCATTTTCACCACACTTTACAGATCATTAGCTTTTAGTGTCTTTAATTAACTGAACCTAATTAAAGCGAACACAGTGAGAGCTAAAAGTTATGACACTGATGGCAGGGTCCAATAAAGCCTGCTTGTTCTGTTTGGCTGTCCTAAATGAGTGACTGAAATCAATTCCACGTGTCCTGTCTGTTTCTCCAGCTCTGACGGCAGAGACACATCTTACCTTGCACAGATGCCTGGAGAGCGGCTCCTAGAAGCTGCAGAGATCCTGGACGTATGGAGACTTTACTCATCCCCAGAGTCCCACAGCAGTGTCCAGCTCTGCTCACATACACACACACCTGCAGGAAAACATACACATTGAGGTCAGGTAAAGCACGCAAAAGACATTCAACAGACTGAAAACTGAGGAAAAATTCACAACTGCTGTTAAAACTTTCCATACAGTACGTCTATTAAAAACAATGTTAAAGTATGAGAATGAATAGAGAGGCTTTTCCTTTTGTCGATTTAAGAGCTCAAGTGTGCATATCGTACGTCATGCACCTGCTATGGAGAATTAGTTAAGGTGTCAAGGTGAAAGCCTGTTATTATGTTACAGAGAAAGAATGATAAGGTCAGGGTTGTCTGAGGGGTCGTTTTTCTCTCTCTTTGGCCTCAGATAAGTCAGAATTCAGAGTTCAGATGAGCTTCGATTTTTTTTTTGAGTCACATTTTTTATGCATAATCTGTAAAAGGTTTAAATTTATAGTTCACCCAAAACTAGAAATTCTGTCTTTATTTACTAGCCTTTCACTTGATCCAAATCTGTTTAACTTTCTTTCTGTTGAGCTGAAAACTTGTAACCATTGATGTTTTTCCTACAAACTTTTTAACTGTTTTTAGCTTCAAATATCTTTGGTGTTCATCAGAATAAAGAAATTCATAGATTTGGAATGACTTGAGGGTGAGTAACAATTTTTTTTACAGACGCTAGGACACATTTCTCAATACTTAGGTCACTTTTGTAAAACTCTTCACACAATTCTCCTAACCGACTTTCAGCTTGGCAAAGCACTTAATTTCATATTCCAAAAGGCACAACAACTACCAGAACACTTTATTCAGGTCTCAAATAAACTCATTCTACTTTGTCACCCACAAAACAATGACCTAAAACACTAATAACATGTATTACAGTGTTTTCTTGTGTAAAACACGGACACATCTCTGTTTATAATTGCAATATAAATTTTTTATGACTGCAATATAAGTTACTGGAGGGAATCAGAAATAATGCAGAATTCCTCAATATTTTATATTGTTTATTTATTTTAATTTTTTTCGCTCCAAGTAATTCCAAAATACAAGACTTGGTATACATACCATCCACGGATACAGATCCAATAGTAATGCTAATTTATATACGTCTTCTCCATTTGGTCACAGGCTCTCATCCACATCACATATTATGCCATCCAAGGCAATACACCTAAAAGAATCTTCTGGTATGCCTGATCCATCCCTGGCAATCTTCTTCCTCTTTCAGCCACTTCTCTATTTCTAGCTGGGTCCATGTTTACATCCCAATACAAACCTATTCAGCAGTTGTTTCCTTTTGTAATGAAATGGAAAGAGTAACACTTTTGCAGATGTTTATCTACAATGAGAATGAGCTGACTGGGTTAACTGCATTTGTAGAATTATAATATGTTTAAATAAAATATTGCTGTTAAATTTTGCTGTCTTATTCAGTTTTGAACATAAGTTTAACCGTTTTGAAAACAGTATGTAAGCATGTGCATGTGCAAATGTCCTGTACAGACAAAGTTTTTTGGCAGTTGTTGTGTCTGAGTGAGAAAAGAATGCCTGAAATTTGAGAGATGTATTCCCTGAATGCATTTTGTGCCTAAACAATAATAATTTATCCTCAGTTTAGCCCACATAGACTTCTGTTGTGCTCACTGTGTGAAGAATTTTGCAAAAGTGACCCAAGTATAAAAAGATTCATTTTTGGGTGAGCTATCCCTTTAAATCATTCAAATTCTATTTTTGAGACGAGTAGAACACACTGCCCTCCACTGGATACCAGTGTACACTGCCACTGTGTGATATACTGCAATATAAAACTTGACAGCTGTTTTGACTCAGTACTCATTATCAATTGATTTTGGAAGTTGCTAATATTCATTGTCTTTTAATGCATCTATGTATATTGCATTTGCATATTGTTTTTGTTCAACCATGTTTATAAAATAACAAATTAATGCATTAATGCATAATCCAACATGATTCTTAATTATTATTATTATTATGCATTTTTGTTAAATACACTTAAATGTGTAAATAGTACATAATAGTACATAATAGCAAAATTAGTTTTTATTGGAAAATTGTATATTATGCTATTATAAAGAAACTAGTGTATGGGGACTTTTGCATTGGAATTAATTCAGAGCACAAAATGTACTGTATGTTACAATAAAAATAATATTAAATGTTCTGTAGAAAAGTTTTTGGCTCTTCTAAAGCATAAAAAAATAGCATAATGTTTGCATTTATTTAAGAAACATGCCAAGTGAACATTCTTGTTTATATGAAAAAACAATAGTGAAGTCAGATATTCTGCTTTGTAAATGTGCCTTACGTGCTGGAACGTCTGCTATTGTTTTGGTCACTTAACCCACCCAATGCCAGTTTAGCCAATTATATTTCAGCACCCAGGGTTGCCTTGGTGTGATTCATTCAGTCAGGAAGGCTCTCAAAGAATGCATTCGTGACCGAATATGTGACCTCTGATGGACAATAGCAGTCTCAGAAACGAGATGCAGATTTATAGTTCCACATGAGGTGGTTATTAATTAGCAAATAACCTAAACATTACAAATGTAAACATTAGATGAGCAGGTTACAATGTAACCCCGTCTCCTAAAACGCTAGGTGACGAGATTTGCAGTGATAAGCAATTTTGCTGTTTGCATCAGTTGAAACACGACAGAAATTTAAATACAGCCTTTCCAAAGCACAGGATAATGCACTCACTGCAATCTAACAAAATGGTAAGGTTTACAATTTTAAACGGTTTATTTCATTTTCAAGATCAGAGTTAAACTTTCCGCTGCTGCTTTCAGTAGTACAGCAACAAATGTGTAGTAAAATGGCATTCTAACCAACATTATTAGCATTTAACTAAATTGAATAAAGCACATAAGGTGTACTTGAGGGGATCATTGTCAGTTTATCCTGTTGTTTAGCTGCAAGAAATAGAAGCCGTTTCTAAATAATAAATTTTAGATGTTGGCGAGGACAAAAACTCCTTTTAATATGGCAACTAATCCTATTGCATGCAGTTGCTTTTAGTCATGTTTACTGGTGTCATCAATCTGGCAACCTGGTTGCAATACCTAGTTCAACCACTGAGTGTCAAACTTACATACTGCACCTTTGAGTGTTTTAAGTTAAAAGAAAGATGTGTTGTGGTTAAATCTTCACATAGTTGCAAAGTTTAATTTCAATTGTTGAGATTTTAGCACTGTGCAGAAAAATACTATGGTGGCTTTTTAAACTGGAATAATGTTTTGCTGCTTCACTCAATTCCCCAAAACTGTGCTGTCTCTTTTTATGTACCCATTCTATAAGGAAATTAGCAGTAGCAAAAAAAGACTGGTTGCAAAAGCAAACATGTTCTGTTGTGAAGTAGGATGCCAAAATCGAAATTCCAAGAATAGAAAACTTAAACTTTACCGTACACCACACTGCTTTTAATGCCAACTGCAGACGTCTTTCACTAACTCTATCATAAGAGCTGAATGGAGGGAGGACCTGATTAAAAATGCTCGACTCTGCAGTTCTCATTTCATATCAGGTAAGTTCCAGCTATGCTGAATCATACACGTTACTTGTTTTTGATTGCAGCAATGTTTTCAGTAAAAACAATTAAATATGGTAACTAAACTGCGGACCCTGAATGCTTAAAATAATTGTTCACATACCCTGCCGTACAGGTGCAATTCGCCGTCAGAATTAACTAAATTAAGTTGAAAGCTTTAAAATATATTCAAATGTGTGAAATTTAAATTTGATTGCACAAATGATTTATTTTTTAAGGTCATCTACGTTGATTATAATGCACATTTATTTATCTAAAACAGCCTTTTTTAACATTAGAATTTGAGTAATCCACACATTTCTCCCTTATTTTGGCATAGTTTGTGTTTGAAGCATGAATTAAAAAAACAAAACGTGAGGGGTTTACCCATACTCTACATTTAAATCTGCTCCTAAATTTCCTCTCTCTCCACTATACATTTACTCAGGAATTCTAGTTACTGTTTACTCTGGTTTTAATAAAACCGCTGAAGAATGAAGTGGAGATTAGAGAGGAATGTGTCTGTTATTATCTCTTCTCTTCCCTTACAACAGTCTCATTTAGTGTGTGTTATCACTTCTAAAGTGGGTCACGTCTACATGGGCTGTCAGCTAGGCACAAACACACACACTGAACTGTGTAACACGTGGAGAGGAGAGGAGAGATGGTAGGTTCACACGTGCCTCATGCTGTCTGCTTCACAGACAGAGGGAGCCACTGGGACAATAAAGAAGCAGAATGAAGGTCTAAGACAGTTAAAGCAAAGTTTTGCTTTTCGTTTGCTTAATCTACATTTGTCGTATACCCTTTTGAGTTTCATTCTTCTGTTGAAGACAAAGGGATTTTGAAGAATGCTGGAAATATGCAACCATTGAGTTGTTTTTTTACTGCTATTGTTTCCTCTTAAAATATGTTCTTTTAATTGTCTTCACCCATATAAATAACCTCATAAGGGTTTGAAATCACTTGACGGTGAGTATATGGTGAGTAAATATAGATATTTTTGTTGTTGTTGAACTGTTACTTTAAGCATAACACCAAAGACTAGAATACACAACACATGTCACTTGTATAGTTTTAAATGGGGAAATATGTCTATATGGCGAATGAAGCCCGGCCTACTAGTATGGGAGCCAAACATCGATCGCTAGACTGATGTTTCTCGAGGGGAAAAACTTGTATCAGATGCTTTTACGGCAGTTTAGTGGTCAACAAACACACTGGAATCTTAGTGAATACTTGCTTCACAGACATAAGAAATACATCCAGATAAAGCTTAAAATCTGAACTTTTAAATGAACCAAATGCACTTGAAAACAAAACTTTTTTTTTGTAATCTGTATGAAACAAACACGGGGTACAGACCGTCTTGTCAAACGCACATCACATGATAGCAGCAACTACTTGAACCTCCACAAACTTGTAAACAAAGGGTCGCTGTCATTTCTGGAGAAGATTCGTCTTCAAGACCAAGTTGTGTTTTGCTTCTAAAGA